AGGGGGCGCTGTGAGTGGATGATCTATAAGAGTATATATGAGTATATAGTGACACAATAGATGACAGCTGAGGAAACCCTGTGGGCAGTTCTCCTCTGTTACACCAGGGGGCGCTGTGAGTGGATGATCTATAAGAGTATATACGAGTATATAGTGACACAATAGATGACAGCCTAGGAAACCCTCTGGGGCAGTTCTACTGTCACAAGGGGGTGCTGTGGGTCAGAATCATCTCAGTGGTAACGTGCACAGGTATTCCTGGTAAGGACTCCTGGTGTTGCACTGTAGGATCAGCACTAGACTGGGAACCACGAGACAATTCAAACCCACCGCCTGATCCTCGGAAACGCTATGCAGAGTTGCTCTGAGTCAGAACCGACTGGATGGTACTTAACAACACTCCTGGTAACCATCATCGCTTCCTTTCCATAACCACAGGTTCTACGCCTATTGGAATGTTGCTGTTAGGTGCTGCGGAGTTGCTTTTGTGACAGAGTAAAACTGTCACTCTTTCCTCCCCCCCCCCCCACAGTTTTCTAGGCCGTCATCTTGACAGGAGCAGACCACCAGCTCTTTCTCCCAGAGCGCCCCTCAGTAGGTTCAAACCTCCAATGTTTAAGTTAGCAGCTGACCACTTGACTAGTGTGTAATCAGGGCTCCCTGAGACACTTCACCCAAACTTACTATACAGCAGTCCTGGTGTGATAGCTACAATTGTACGTCAACTTGAGGGGCCAGGATTCTCCGTGGCATCACACAACTTTGTGATGAGGTCAGCTATGAGCAGCCAATCAACTGAGAGGAAGTGTCTTTGGGGTGTGGCCTGCTTCCAATATACCGGGCATTTCCGCAAAGCTTGCTCTTCACTGCTGGGTCTGGATTCTGCACAGGGCTCGCCATTCAGACTTGAGCCAATGGCCTGCTCTATTGCCTGCCAGTTCTGGGAGTTGTCAGCAGCTTGGCATCTTACCTGCCCGAGCTACCTGCCTGTCGCCTGACCTGCAGATCTTGGCTTATCTCACCTGGACGTAGGACTCTCCCACCTCAAGAATCGTGAGCCATGTCCTTAATACAAACCACACTTAATATACACGTGTATAAGCTCACTGGTTTTGCTCCTATACAGAACCCAGCCTACGACACCGTGTTACGTTAAGTCAAATAGTCAGCTGGCACTTGCCCTAATTTAAGGCATGCAAATTTCCCCTCACTTTGTAATGACTGAATCAACCCGTAGCTCCCAACAAATTCTTCTCAGGTCACCTTCACTTGCCACACACGCAGCTTCCAACACTGAACAGGCTGTAAGTCCTGTGTTGCAGCATGTAAGTAGGGAATGTACCCATTCCATTTACAGCCACACTTCGAAACTAATCTCCTTCAGCGCCTGGGGACTGCCTGCAAGCTAGCCCCTCTGTTTAATAACAGCAAAAGGGAGAGCCCAATGGAAACTCAGCCAGATGGACAACACAAAAGCTGAGGACAATAGAACAACATGTGTTTGGTGGCCAATAGGACAATATTGTTGCTATGTGCTGACTCCGACTCATAGTGACCCTGTTTAGGGTTTCCAAGGAGCTGCTGGTGGGTTTGAATCGCTAATCTTGTGATTACCGGTCCAGTGCTGATCCTAGAGCACCACAACAGGACCCCCATATTAGGTCAGTCCTATTATGAGGGGGGAGTCCTGGTGTGGCGCTGTGGGTTAATGTGTCAGACTGCAAAGCCGTTTGAACTGCAAGGTCGGTGGCTCAAGCTCACCAGCTGCTCCTCAGAAACCCTACACAGGGTCGCTATAGGTCAGAACCGACTCGACAGCACTTAACAACAACAACAATTATGAGGGGAGTGTCAAAAACTTCATGGAAAAATGGAATAGGAAGAGAAAATGGAACTTTTCACGAACTTTTTGAAGCCCCCTTGTATGTCTAGACAGCATCTATGAATTTTGCGATGCCATCCATTTTTTGAATGAATGAGAAGAAAACAGAGCAGCTGTTCACTGTGCAAACATGCAAGAGCACTGGCCTAGATCTCCATGTTTATGATGCACGGGGTACAGGCCTGCTTACAGTAAGAGGTCTGATGATTCCTTTCACTTCTAACTGTGAACTGGGGATGTCGACAGCAGATCAGGTTTCCACCCAGCAGTTCCCACACAAAATGCTTCATTTCAGATCCACAGTGGAAGCTCACTGCTCCCCCTGGCCCCACCTTTCCTGTTTCCAGTCCTCCTCCTCCTCTCCTCCCCCTACTCTACTTGGTCCCGGAGTCTATAGTTGGATATTCTAAGGTGGCGCCAAAAGGTCTTTTAAGATTGCTCCCCTGGAGACTAGTTAATCTTACAGTCCAGGAACCCTAGGACCATCCCGGGAAAGAGCACGAGCGGAATGTGGGACCCAGAGAAGCAGTGACACCAGAGATGGAGGCAGAGATGAAGACAAGGAGAGAGGGAGCAGTTGAGGACTCTAGACTCATAGAAAGAGCAAGTCTGTGTGCTGGCAGCCAAGAGGCAGGCTTGCAGAATGTGTCCTTTGGTTGTTTACATTATTATATATTCCTGTGTGGTTTTGTGTACATTAAAAAAAAAAAAAAAAACCCAAAACCAGAGGGAATGGAAGCTAATACTGTTGAATGGTGACGCATGGAGGAGCTTGTAATCACTGCAGTGAAATGATGGTATAAAGCCGACGTTCTCCTATGTAAACTATCACTCAGTTCCCAATAAAAACTTTTTAAAAAAGAATGTTTTCCTGGAGCCTGTTAACATAGCTCTTAATACTATTCAGAAAAGACGATGTGGAGAGAAAAGAGAAGAATCCGGGTAGGGATGAGAACCCATTTCTCACCTGGTGGAACAGAGAGCTGTGTGTCACCGGGATGCCCAGTCCACTGAAGCACATCCCCAGGACCATGTCATCTGGAGCATCGTTGCTATAGCACCGACACGTGCTGGCCAGGAGCCTCCGGATGGACTCTCTGCTGAAGACCATTCTAGAGGGAGGCGGAGGGAGACAGAGAGCGCTGAGTGGTCCAGAAGCTGAGTCAGGGGCCACGTGTCTGATCAAGGCTGCCAACATCAGAGCGGCTGCATTACAGCTCTGAGTTTGCTGTGGTCGCAGTGATTCAGATGCATGGTGACCCTGTAGGACAGGAGGGAACTACCCCGAGGGTTTCTAAGGCTGCAGTGCTTAAGAAGGAACACTATCACTTCCTCCCATGGAGCCACTGGTGGGTTTAAACCATGGCTTATCAGTTAGCAGCTGAATGCTTAACCACTTCACTCCCAATCAAACTAAAGCCACTGCCATCGAGTCAATTCTGACTCATAACGAAACTATGTGAAAAGAGCGGACTGCCTTATAGGGTTCCCTGGCTGTAGCTCCTGCTCCCATGGAGCGGCGGGTAGGTTTGAACCATGGACCTTGCAGTTAGCCATCGTGCTGAACCCACAGCACCATCAGGGCTACTGAAATCCAAACAGTGAGGAGGAGTTGGCCAGATGAAAGAGGCAGGAAGTTAAGGAGAGGGGACAATGCTGTGTAGAGATCAAGCCCAAATCCAGCAGCCACAGAGTCGAGTCCGACTCATAGCGACCCTTCAGGACAGAGAATTGTCCATCATTTTCCCAGGATGCACATCTTTATGGGAGCAGACAGCCCCATCTTTCTGCACTGGAGCAGCTGATGGGTTTGAACTGCCGACTTTGTGGTTAGCAGTCCAGTGCTTATCCTACAGAGCCATTTCAGGAACCGTATCTTGGCGGAAAGAAAAGGAAGACACTGAAATAAATGCTGCCTGAATCCTTTACGGTGAAGACCAGGGGTGGGGAACTTTTTTTCTGCCCAGGGCCATTTGGATATTTATAACATCATTTGTGGGCCATACATAAATGTCAATTTAAACATTAGCCTGCTTTATTTGGGTGGCTGGAACTTTGGTTGCCTTGGCAAGGCCAGACCAAACCATCTCTCGGGCCTTATACGGCCTGTGGGCCAGACCTTCCCCACCCCTGGTACATACAGGCACATCAGGAAAGGTAAACGATTGATGCCCAAATGATGAGAAGTCTTGTAAGCCTGGGCAAAGAACTCTGGACTTTCTTCTAAATGCAAAGGGAAAACTCAGAGCAACCCTATAGCAGTCAGACAAGTGTGACTAAATGGCACCTAAGGGCAATGACCACAAGGTTGGTAACAAGACTCTCTTCTCTCTATAGACCCGACCTAACAGGGCAGAGAACAGATTAACTGCTCAACTGATTTGTCCTTTTCAGCAAATTTCCTTCTATCCCCACAGGAGATGAGGCAGATGTTTCATTTAAAAATATTGATTTTTAACTGTTATTTAAAACCTATAAATCTAACACAAGTATCAGTTAATTGCTGAAATCTAAGCTTCCATGGAACTTTTCTCTGAAATGGGGTTTACTAAGGATTGGGTAATTTAAAAGTCTAATGGTTTGTTTTCTGAATCTAAAATCTATGTCCAATTTTTATTCCATTTCAATAGACAATCAAAACTAATTAGCTGCTGTTATAACCTGAACTGTGTCCCCCCAGCCCTCCGAATATAGGTAAGGGGCCATGGTAACACAGTGGACTAAGTGTTGCTATGGTTTGAACACACCAGCCACGTCATCGGAGAAAGCTAATGGTCAGTCCCACTCGGTCCTAGAGTATTGTGTGTTAGAATTGACTGGGCAGCAGTGGGGTTCATTTTCTGGTTTAAAATTATGGTTAAAATTCCATTTAGGGATGGGTTTTCTTTGCTGGTAGTTCAAACCTACCAGCCGCTCCTCGGAAACCCCATACAGGGCTGCTGAGTGGGAACCGCCTCCACAGCACTACACAACAATAACAAATGACTTTGTAGGCATCCTGGTGTGGTGCTGTAGGATGAGCATTGGCCTGCCAATGCAAGGTCAGCGGTTCAAATCCACCAGCCGCTCCTCGGAAACCCCATGCAGGACCTCCATGAGTCAGAACCGACTCCATAGCACATCACAACATCACATACAGAAGACATCCCGGGGTGCAACAGTTAAGCGCTTTCTGTTACCCAAAAGGCTGGTGGCTTGATCCCTCCCAGAGGCTCTGCAGGACAAAAGGCCTTGGGATGCGTTCCTGCAAAGAGTAAAGGCAAAACGCACTGCCGGCGAGTTGGTTCCAACTCCGAAAGACTCTGTGGACACAGCGCTGTCAATTCTGTTAATCTTTGCAGAAGCAGACACCCTCATCTTTCTCCCTCAGAGCAACTGGTGGGCTCAGAGCACAACCTGTCAGTCAGCCGTCTAGCACTTGACCCACAGCGCCACCAGGGCTCCCTCCTGCAAAGATGAGGAGGCTCTCCTCTGTCCCTCGCCACCACTACACGTCGGATGGGCTAGATGACAGACACCCAACAACCACAAGAATCACAGACGGATCAGGGTAAATCCCAGTTCTGCACCCGGGTAACCGAGTCAGGGGACACGTGGTCTCATAGTTACCCTCCTCCGCCAGTGACATAGCTGTAGCCGCCGGTGCCGAGCCCGTAACCATAACGTTCTCCCAGAAACACGGGCTCGCGGGAATCGTAGCAGCTGAGCAAGTGCCGGAGCCTGGAGACACTGAAACCCAGAGAGGGAAGGGTTAACTGCGCTGGGCCTGTGGTGGGCCAACCTGGAAGGACGGGCACCTGACATCCACAATACAGGCTGCTCACAGAAAGGCTGGTGGTTCGAACCCACCAGCCACTCCTTGGGAGACAGATGAAGCAGTCTGCTTCCGTAAGGATGTCAGTTTGCATTTGTCACACAGGGTTGCAACAAGTTGGAATTAAATCGACAAGGGTGCATGCTTGACTAGAAGCCAAAAGGTTGGCGGTTTGAACCTACTCAGAGGTGTCTCAAAAGACAGGTCTGGCCATCTGCTTTTAAAAACACACAGCTCTGAAAACCCTTAGGAGCCCACTTCTACTCTGCACTCAGGGTCACCAAGACTCAGAGCAGACTTAACAGCAACGGACAAGAGCTTATTCCCTTGTTGATGCCATGTGTATGTTGTTGGTTATGTGCCGTGGGGTCGGTTGTGACTCATAGTGACCCTGTTCAGGGTTTCCGAGGCTGTAAATCTTTACATGAGTAGAAAGCCTCATTTTTCTTCCGCGGAACAGCTAGTAGTTTCAAACCGCTGACCTTGAGGTTCGCAGCCCGATTCGTTACCACTATGCTACCAGAGCTCCTTATACAACATCGTTATTAGCATTGTGCAGTATATGACACCATTATTGAGGTCGTATATATACAACGCTGTTGTTGATGCCATGTATATATGACACTGATGTTGTAGATAAGGCACCATTGCTGGTGCCATGTATTAAACACCATTGACATCTTGTATGTTTCACCATTAATGATGTTGTGTAATGTACGATACCATTGCTGATGTTATGTATGCATGTCTGGTACATTCGACACCATTGTTGATGTGTATATAAGTCACTGCGGTTGATGATGTGCAGGGCATAACACCTTGTTGACGTCAGCTATATACGACACCATGTTCATATACGACATAGTCAATGATGCTGTGTAGTATACAATACCGTTGTTCATGTCTGGTAGTACACAACACCACTGATGATGCTGTGTAATATACAACAACATGTTAATGTCATATAATATGCAACAATATTGAAATTTGAGTAGCTGATAGGGAAAATGGGAAAATTCGAGCACTGTGCACGTACCATAGCAGATACGACTTTGAGAACTCAGAGGCTTACTGTCAAGTTTGAACATGTCCTTTGCCACTGTGTGGCACCTGCTTTACGACAGGACAGTGGAACATTAACAGGACAGGTTAATGAGGGACAGGTGGTCATAAAAGAAAGCCACTGCCAAGTCAATTTGACCCATAGTGGCAGGCTGGGACAGGGGAGAACTGCCCCTCAGGGTTCCCAGGCTGCACATGTTTTCAGGAGCAGCCAGCCTCATGTTTCTCCCACAGAGCAGCAGCAGGTGGATTTCAACTGTCAGCCTTTCAGTGAGCAGCGGAGCACTTCAGCCACTGAGTCCAGGGCTCCTTAAGGCAGCCATGGTGCTGTTTACCTCGTTTCCACCGTCCTACTCTCCCAGCTCAGCAGCCACTCCTCGGACAGCCTACACAGGGTCACTATGAGTCAGAAGCCACTTGACAGCACTTAATAACAACTCCCCAAGAAGTGTGAACCGATCCGTACATCTGACTTCAATAGGTTCTTGATGAGTTAAAATTCTTGATAACTAAAACACAGGATGTAAAAGGAAGTGTTGAAAGTGCAAATTAAATTGGGGGTGGGGTTCCATCTAATTCAGTCCCAGGGCTGGTGGTGGTGTTAGGTGTCAGAGAGTCAGTTCTGACTAACAGCAGTCCCATGTGACAGAGAACTGCCCAATGAGGTTTCCCAGGCTGTCATCTATTGTGTCACTATATACTTGTATATACTGTTATACATCATCCACTCACAGCGCTCCCTAGTGTGTAACAGAGGAGAACTGCCCTACCAGGTTTCCTAGGTGACCATCTTTACAGAGTTGTTGCTATGTGCTGTGGTCGGTTCCGACTCATAGCAACCCTGTACAGAGTTTCCGAGGCTGTAAATCTTTACAGGAGCAGAATGCCTCATCTTTCTTCCATGGAACTGCTGGCAGTTTGAACTGCTGACCCTGAGGTTAGCAGCCCAGTTCATAACTACTACACTACCAGAGCTCCTTCTTTAGAGCAGACTGCCACACTTTCCTTCTGCGGAGCCACTGGTGGGTTTGAATTGCCCACTTTTCGGTTGCAGCTCAATGTGGTGTAACCCACTGTACACGAGAGCTCCTCGTGGCAGGGCTGCTAGGTAAAGGAGATTGAGGCAGCGGACTGTCCTGGAAACGCCTGCAGAGATCTTAAAGGAAGTTGCAGTCTTTGGTTGGAGAAAGGATCTGTACAAATGCAAAGGCCCGAGGGGAATTTCTGACTGCGTCTTCAATGCCAAGCTGATGCTATTTCTCTTCTTTCTTCGTGTTGTAAAATTATTCATTCAAACCTCCTTTTATGAGGATAAAATATCTGGCATTTGACATCTCCTTTGGGTCTCTTTACTTTGTTATATTAACCATGTCTGTCTCCACCGTGAAATTTGAAAGCTAAAGAATCACAGGACTAACTCAGACAACTGTCATGACGTGGTTTTCGCAAAAACATAGAAATCTGGGTCAGAACGGAGGATCACCAATTCTAGGGGGATGTGCTTACTGAGCCAATAAAAGAATTTCACTTCCCAATCTGTTACCCCTCCAGGATGATTGCAGGCACAGAAATGAAGACAAGCAACATGACAATGCTAAAGTGCTCATAAGGATCCCTGGTGGCAATGTGGGTTAAGCACTTGGCTGCTAACTGCAAGGTTGGTGCTTCAAATTCACTACTTGCTCTGAGGGAGTTGCCTAGAGTTACTGAGGCTGTCGTCTATTGTATCACTATATACTCATATGTACACTTATATATCTAAGGAGCTCTGGTAGCATAGTGGTTATGAGTCGGGCTGTGAACCGCAAAGTCACAAGTTCGAAACTACGAGCTGCTCTGTGGGAGAAAGGTAAGTCTTTCTGCTCCCGTAAAGATTTACAGCCTTGAAAACCCTACGCAGGGTGGCTCTGAGTCGGAACCGACTCCAAGGCACTTGACAACAACAACTCATATATCATGCACTCACAGCGCCCCCTGGTGTAACAGAGTAGAACTGCCCCACAGGGTTTCCTAGGCTGTCATCTATTATGTCACTATATACTCATATATACTCTATAGATCATCCACTCACA